CATACTCGTTATTTATTATAGAACAACGTCCGATGTCACGTTAGAACAATGTGGCTTAGACAGACAGGAACACTCGACTGTAGTAGTTCCGTTGCCTTTGTCGCATCTGTAACGTGATCCCTCGCCGCGACTTCCGCACGAAGCCCTTTGATTCACAGCTAATCCTGCAGCGTGGATTACGTACGCAGCTAACCTGCAAAATTGTAAAACGTAAATAGCACAATTGAAGCTTTCCTTCGGGTTTTATCACAGGGATTTATCATAAATAGTGGTCGCCCGGTAGTCGAAATTCGACTATAATTAATTAAAACTATAAGTTTGTACACTATTATAATTCTATTTTCAAAGACTATTATACTTCTATAATCACAAATTTCGCCAAGACTACACTATAAAAATATTAACAAAGACAAACAATATTTAATCTATTCTCAATTTGACCACAGATGTCAAGAACAAAAGTTTGACAATAAATAAATAGTATGCATGCGCGTGTGCGTCAAATACATGATAGTGTGTATAATGTTTTTTTTATTGATTTAATGTATTTTTTAGGCATAATTTTAAATAAATATTAACATTCTGCACTCCTTCTCTATATTCTCTATAAGTGTGGAAAATTCATACTCATCCGTCCGCGCACTTTTCCTAAAAAGGGATACAAAGTTTTTCCGTCACGTATTAATATATAGATTAAGAAAAAGAAAAAAAAAACGATGTACGCGTGAAACTTTCTTCGTGTCTTAATTATTATTTATGTAGAACAGCTGGCGTGCAGAGGTTGGTCGAGCGAGGCTACGTCCGGCGAACGACGTGGTTATTTATAAAACAGAGTTGGGTCTCGTTTTGTCTTCGGCGCGCTCTTTATTTTGTCTAAATATACGCAGTTTTGGGAACGACGTCGCGGCCGGCTCTACCATCCCTGGCGATTTGCCAGCAACTTCGTGTCTTTTGTCGGAGGTTACAAAAATGCCCGAAATCTTTTACGTCCGAAAAGCGTTACACATTATCATTGGCTTTATATACAACTAGCGACCCGCCCTCGCTTCGCTTCGGAAACTGCAATTTATTATTGACTAGCTGACCCGGCAGACTTCGTAGTGCCTCAATCGATAAATAAAAGTCACATCAAGGGGACACATCAAAGGAAAAACAAAATTGTTTGTTTTTATATAATTCCGAGCTTTTTTATATTTTCTCACCTTTTAAGCCTTCCCTGGACTTCCACGAATAATTCAAGACCAAAATTAGCCAAATCGGTCCAGCCGTTCTCGAGTTTTAGCGAGACAAACGAACAGCAATTCATTTTTATATATATAGAATTCTCCACTATTTAATGGATGTTATTATATATATAAACCTTCCTCTTCAATCACTCTATCTATTAAAAAAAACCGCATCAAAATCCGTTGCGTAGTTTTAAAGAGTTAAGCATACATAGGGATATAGGGACAGAGAAAGCGACTTTGTTTTATACTATGTAGTGATGAAGTAGTTGAACAATGAAACAATACTTTGTAAGTACAGGTTTTGTAAATCTTGATTCACGTAAAGAATTTTGGTATTTATAGTTCGGGAGTGTCCATCGGTCGCTGGCCGCGACTCCCGCTCGTATGGAAATAATTATAAGTGACATAAAAAAATGCTTTGGCTCTTGCCCCGCACGTGTTACTCCGTAAATAAGTGTCCCGGGAACTGCCGTTAGTTTTCAAGGGGCGTAATTAATCGTTCAGTAACCAATAAAGGAGGGAGCAATAAATCGTCAGGTCGTCGGTCTCACTCCTGATTACTGTCAAAAGCGACACCGGTCAGCAAGATCAAAGAAACTAAAAAGAAAACCATATCTTGTCTACAATCTAGTCTCTAATGTAAATCGACCCTGACTTCGTCTGAAGTGATGTATGAATCCAATTAGTTAATATCTTGGTTAAAATCGTGCTTAAAAATTGTTCAGAATCCAATTAGTTAATATCTTGGTTAAAATTGTGCTTAAAAATTGTACAAAAATATTCGGAATAAAAAAATTTGATTGCTCCATGAATATTCGCTTTAGAGGCATAAACAAAACGATAACGTTCAGGGTGCTTCAATTGTTTGAAGTTAGACAAGTTTATGCATTCTGTGATGTATCACGCGCCGTACATTGGGTTTAATGGCAATGAAAATACAAGTCTTGTAGCCATAATATAATAATACGAACATTCTGTCCCGCTCGATCCGAGCCGGTCTAAAATCGTATTTCCGTGGAATCCTTACAAGCGACTTAAGCACTTAGTGCCCGGCTTTGCAGTTCGTCGACCCTCACTACAGAAATCGTCCTGAAAATATATTCGTAGCGATATTAAAAACAAAGATCTTTATTCAAATATTTAGGCGTGTCCGAAAATGTTTTCAGGCGAACGCTTATGAGTAATACCGACAAATTTTCTGTACCTACGGTAAGACTTTAGAATGACGTCTGAAAGCTTGCACTGCGTCACATTCGCTCCGCATTATACGATTTTACTTCGGCTACCGTTCCGACACTGACAATCGATTATAACAAAAACTATGCATACGTATGTGGGTCAAACAAACGACACGACAATGAATTATATTCGGGCCGTTGCTACAACAGACACGAAAGGTAATTTAATGAATCAAGATAAGGGTTGTGATGGTCAACTCGACCTCAGCCCTCAACTAGCATCGATTCTCTGGCACGAGACCGTATGTGGAGTAATACGTCACAATGCCACACGAAACTAAGCATGTGCATATGTGTGTAGTAATATTAATAGTAGGTACGATTAAACTTTTAATTATTTTTAAAATTTACTCCAAAAACCAAAACAAGCTTCGTTTAACTTCTAATATTACGATAAATCCAAACTCTATGTGTATTTTAGTAGCTACTCTAAGGTTCAATCAAATTTAGTTATCATCCATCTTCCTTCTTATTCTTCATCTTCAATTTGATTATCAAATTATTTTGATTTTCATCATTAATACACATAGTTACCGAATTTCATAATTGTAACATTTAAAAATGTGAATATTGAAGTGAAATATTCAGTTAAATCAATGGGACATACATGTCAGGCCTTGTTAATAAACCTTGTTACTTTGTTGTTGTTGTTTTAATAGTGAAATAATAGTGATTTATATCAACCATTTTATAAGATTTGACTAAATTCAAACACGCCGTAAAGAAAACTAGAATAAATAAAAAAAAAACAATTTAAACAAAGAAGATTGATTACGCTTATCTGACACCCGGGATTCCTTATCGTGAAGATGAAACTGCAAGACAAACAGTTTGCCCGTATGGTAATGTTCGCTCTTTCTGTGTGCAAAGAAACTAGTTAAATATGGCATTCATCTATACTAATATATAATATTATAAAGAGGAAAGATTTGTTTGTTTGTTTGTTTCGAATAGGCTCCGAAACTACTGGACCGATTTGAAAAATTCTTTTTCCATTAGAAGCCGATATTGTCCCTGATGAACATAGGCTACTTTTTTTAATTTTTTTTTTAATATTTTTTTTTGGTTTCATGTGTGTTTTAATTTTTCCGAAGCGAAGCGAGGGCGGGTCGCTAGTATTTTATAAAGAATTAAACAGTAGTTAGTAAAATATATAAATGTCGATGAATAGCACCATAGATAATACCTACACATAAATTAGTTATAGATAAGCAACTCAAGCAATCAACAAAAATGTTTACGGGCGTCGGCCACTAGATGGCTTCGTTTCGACTAGTACTCATTGCTTCTGTAGAAGGCAGAAACATATTACCTTTTCTATATTTTACTTTTAATGAGTAGCTCATTAAAAGTAACATTGATAAAATTTAATCTATTTGTCTTTAACTTCAATGTAAAGACTTGTATGTTTTTTTGTTCTGTCTTTAGTCATACAATAATGTAATGCCTTAACTTTAACAACATATAAGTTTAGGGGCATCTGCTACAAGATGTCGTTAGTATCCATACAAAAAAAATGTCTTAAAGTATCGCAGTTTCAGAACCCCGAATAACACCATCGTTTTTCACCAAGAAAACAGTGCAGTATTAGAAACGTAGGAAAAAATAATAATAAGGAACTCCACGCAAGAGAGTAAGCTCTGGGTTTTTACCGATTCATCTCAGTGTTAGAAATGAATTTCGAAAATTGCGCCATAATATTGAATATTTAATAATGTATTTTGAATGAATGGATTTTTATGTATCACTATGATATGCCAAAACGTACTTATGTTACTGAATTTCCTGTACTACGTAATCGCAGTAGTCGAACCGCGACACCATCCGCGGCATGGCGGAAGTTTTGCACCATAATTACCTATGAAATTTCACCATACACAATAGGACTTGTATCAATCAGGCGGAGGTCATGTTATTTTGGTGAATAATATACTGGTTACTAATCACCCATTCCTGATATAAACGAGACATTATCATGATCGCAAACTTCCTAAAACACAATTGTAATCGAAATAAAATCAAATGTCATTAGAATAAAATAGCCGCCAATAATGCCTTCGACACATCAAAGATGGCGTCGCGTTGCGTATTTAGAATTTCCAATCAAAGTAGATACTCTGCTATTTATTAAATTGAGTGTTGATGCCAAGAACCGTAAGCCGTTTATAGCGAGCGTTTGTCGTCTTCTTGTCAAGAGGCATGTCCCTGGATTGCAGTGCCCGGGCGGGCGGCTAGCGACCGAAATAGACGGTGCCTCCGCCTCGCGAGACTTAACAATGTAATAAAAAGAAATTGACAGTGATGTCGCCTCCGCTAAGTTGTCTCGTGTGTCATTTGGAAGTGGTCCAATCCATTCCAATATATTCTAGTTCTTCTCTAGCCGCTTCCGTTAAGTTGGACAAAAATACAATCTAAAGAACTGACGAGTGAGAAATGATTTTAATATATTTTTTTCGTCGGAATTAACCGTCCTCATTTCGTTGTCACCTCGTTTCTTGAGAGTTTTATAAAAATAGATGTGTGTTTGTTGCAGGGTTTGGCTTGGCTGCCGCCGCGGCTGCAGGAGTGAGGGCAGGCTATCCGACTGTTTTACCGGCGCACTATGGGTAAGTGTCAGCCCGATGCCAACCTTTACACAATTGTTGTTTATTATTTATCAATGTTCTATGTCAACACATTGATATTTGCCAGCACTTGCGGCCCGGCATGCCGCTCTCAATACATCTCACGAGACAAAAATCAGGCTCGTGTTCAGTTTGGTCGCTGCTAAAATTAAACAGATGACGGTCATCTTAACATAAAAAAATATTTTATTTCAAAATATAGGTGAGGTTTCAAAAAGTATATAGATTTAATTCCGTGTTGTAAATCCAGTAGGCAGGATGTGAATAAACCGCATTGAAAAGTGCGTCTGTTTACTGTATAGGCAATATAGCTTCGGAGTGTAAAGGCAAAGATAGTATGGTGCAAAGAGTTGAGCTGACTTTTGTCTCGGTAGATGAGGCGAGCGGCGTCTCCGGACGGCCAGCGGTGCGGCGGCTGACGGACATCACCTAGACTATATTATCAAACATTTTCACATAGGTATCTATGTCAAGAGTGAGCGTGAGAGTGGATTTTTTTCGTTTTGGGTGTGAATTAGTCGATTGGGTTTTTTGATGTTTACGTTTTTAAAGCTATACCGGAGCATGGGCGGCGCCCGCGCGCATCCTCGTCGCCGCGAGCTCCGCCCACCACCGACACTATACGCATCGTTATCGACACTCAATGTTTTAAACTCTTTATGTTTTATAACGTGTTCGTTTAAGATTTTGTTGATTTGAAATGAGTTTTGTTGGTGGTGGATTACGTTTAATACACTTACAAAGTATTAAAAGGCGCGCCGGTTACCGGGGTGTCGCCGGTCAAGTGTGTGCGGTGTGTGAGTAGGTGTGTGCGCACTCTCGACCGGAGCCGTGGTGGCTAGGCCGCCGTGCTGTCTACTATCACCACCTGTAATGCTCATCAGAGGCGAATCCGGCAATTAGACGGCGCGACCGATCGATTCTCTAGGGCAATCATGCCATCGACACGCTAGCCGAACCACCACAATCCGCCCGTACATATATTATTCATCGGCACTCTGGTTCCAATCGAAAAATAATCGAGTGAAAGCTTCCTTCAATTAATCGATTTTTTTTTAAATAATGAAATCCAATTAGTGTAGGAGCATTATCGCTCATAGGCTTTGTAGTATTATAGTACGTATACGCCGAATACTCCGAAATGAGAAATACGAAACAGATTTTTTTTTTGTAAAACACGTCTGTATGAACACCTATGCTTTACTTGTCATAATTAATCTAGTCTTGGAAATCTGCATGAGAAATGTAACGAATTTTCTTCAGACTTATCACCTAACAATGGCGGTTATCAATTTTATTAGCTACCTATATATAATATAATATAATTTCATAGCGATATTGATTGATTGTTGTGTTGTACTTTGGTAGACGTGTCAGCTCGGCTTGTTTTGTTTCTGCCAGTTTTTAATGCTGTTTGTTTTTGGTTTATTACTATTTATTTGTTAAGTTTTTAGTCACCAAACACAATACATACCAACAATTCGTCACATGTAGCTGCAAATGTTTGTTTTAGCACAAATATTTTAGGTACGAGATTTATTTTATTTTATTGAATTCTCTTAAGAACGCGCTTTGAGATACACAGAATAAATAGGCATTTAGTACGAATGCGAATTAAATTTGTAGACCACAGGTGGGCGTGTGTATCGGGCGGAGCGCAACTAGGGCGGACACCACGCATGCGTGTTCATCCCGATATTGTCCACATCTCAAATTCAATTACAAGCTTTAATGAGCCACCGTCCTTTTCTAAAACTATACATACGATCGAAAGAGACTGACATCATTGATGATTTTGCCGGTTATAAGCCTGTTTCCGGAGTACCCTTCAAAATTGCTGACAGCGCGCGCCGCTCTGAAGCGCTTCGCCTCTTCAAACCACTCGAGTCTTCATAGATGAATCTCGCAGACTCGGCAGACGTTCAACGTTAAAATTGAATTATAAATCTACCTTAAATTTAGATTTAAAATTAAAATTTAGTAGGTTTTATTTTATACTAGCTAACCCGGCAGACTTCGTAGTGCCTCAATCGATAAATAAAAGACCTAAAGTTTTTTATAAAATAAACTTAAAACAAACAAAAGGAATCCGTCCGACGGGGGTCACATCAAAGGAAAAACAAAATTGTTATTTTCATTTAATTCCGAGCATTTTGATACTTATCTACCTTGTAAACCTTCTCTGGACTTCCACAAATAATTTAAGACAAAAATTAGCCAAATCGGTCCAGTCGTTCTCGAGTTTTAGCGAGACTAACGAACAGCAATTCATTTATATATATATAGATAGATAGATTTCGATTTAAACAATTTGGGTGCAGAATTTGAACGAAAACTAAATGAAAATATCCGTGAGAGCGAAGACGAAAGCGGTGTTACCATAAACAAATACTATATGTTGCGGTTAATTTCCGGTTGAAGTGCCGCACGATTTACTTTTATTATTTTTAATTTTATCTATATTTTGCTGGCTATGACGCACGGCGGCGGTTCCACAGCGAAATAGGTTCACTATCAAATACTTATATAACAGTTAATCGATGTCTACTAACATAACAAAACTAGATAATGCTCGTGACTGACACGGCTGCAAAGGGGCTAGGTGTCTATAGTGTGATGATGTTTTGAACAGTATTAATTCTGTCGATGCGATGACTTTTCATGGAAAATTTGTCTGTACCATCAGAATACAATTAGTTTTTAGTTTACAATAATTTAGAATCGATTTCACTTTCACGAGTTTTAAAGGTAGATTTATTATGTTATGGAAATCGTCTAGTGAACATGCTGATGATACAGACAGAATAAAAACATTGTATCCTCGTTAAAGAGCTGATGATATTTATGTATCGACTGCGCGTCTTAACATTCGAAAAGTTCCGTGAAAAGTCATCAATGGGTGCTTCGATATAGTGTGGGTGTTGTCCATAATTTATAGTAAAAACGATTGGTATCGACAGGTTGTCTCCTGGATATGTGTACGGAACTCCGAGTTACATGGGCGCTATGAGCGGCGTCGGTGGTGGTGTTGGTGCCGGCGCCGGGGGGCTAGTGCAATTGCCTCAGCTCCAACACGCTGCGGCAGTCGCGGCTGCCAACCACCTATACGAATACCAAGCCGCCGCAGCCCAGGGTGCAGCTGCGTACCAACAGCAATACGCTGCAGCAGGATTTGATCCTTACGCCACTGCTGCAGGTACGTAATCAATCTATACTTCATCACTACATAGTATAAAACAAAGTCGCTTTCTCTGTCCCTATATCTGTCTGCCGTTATGTATACTTAAATCTTTGAAACTACGCAACGGAGTTTGATGCGGGTTTTTTTAATAGATAGAGTGATTGAAGAGGAAGGTTTATATGTATAATAACATCCATTAAATAGTGGAGAAATCAATAATAAATTACTGTTTCCGAAGCGAACCGAGGGCGGGTCGCTAGTGAAATATAATTAAAAAATATTTTCACCTTTTTTTTCCCTTCCTATGCTGATAATCTGGAGAGGCTATATCAGCGTCGCCTTAACTAGTAGGTGAGCTCACGGGGCTCAAACCTGATGATAATTTTCAACTCCGAAAAATTACTATATTCATACCATTTCCACTTCCTACACTAGCGTTATTTCAGAGAGTCTTCCAACAATAACTCATTGTTTACTGGCGGACACTATTTCAACTTGTCCCCTATACAAGATGGTGCTCCTTACTTCTACATCCCTGTTCCATCCCATCCCATCCTACATTCTGTATTCACCATGATTGGTGAGTGAGCTCACGAAGCTATGCCTAAGAGAAGTTTCTAGTGTCTGCCATAGCAAGAGTAGTGCTTCGTTAAATTTAGCAACGGATCGGATTCAAGATCTACTAAAAGAGCCGGAGAGAAACACAGTGGGTTAAGTTGCACGTCGAACTCTTGACCGGTACTTGGAATGCCTAAAAGCACCGAGAGTGGATCGAGTCGATCCCCAAAGGACCATAATTACTCAGTCTGTTCAGACGTAGGTAGTTTTGTTATAAATAAAACAATAATACATATTACATTTGAATTCTGAAGAAGTCCTTCACATATGAATTATTTATTCATTGTGGTATTTATTTTCGTAAACCTTATGATTTTAGACGGAAGTGGGGCGATAGAGAGAACCGAATTATATCATAGCATTATACAAAGTAGGTAATAATTAAATACAATTTCTAAAAACATTTTTTTTGTTTTAGTTGAATTTTCGTTAACTTACATACTTATTTTGAAGCGTTCTTTATTTCTAACAGAACCGCTCTAACCTTTTACGTACTAAAAATTCAGTGAAGAAAAAAATCGAAAAAATCGTCGTCCGAAAGTAAAATTTTTAGAAGAAATTACCGCATTGCAGCTAAGGCAACTTGCAAACGACTTACTTACTTGATAATAAAAAACATAGCATGTTGAAACCCAAAACAACTTTTTAGGTTGTTTGTAATTTCCCAACATGGAAAGAGCTGGTAGATCCAGTCAATAATAGGCCACAGCGTTTAAAATTATTAATTTAAAAATATTAAGTCCGATTAATTACTAGAAGCTTCAAATTATCAAAATGCTATTTTGTTAATTAATTCACACTGCAGTAATAGATATTATATATTTAAAATTGTTTTCTTTGTAACAATAATTTTGGCAAAGTTATGTTATTAAGTAGGCTGGGAATCGGGCTGGATTGCAGAGTCCCTTGGCAGGTGGGCCCTTACCATCTTCGACCTTGGCCTTCTTGACCGTCTTCGAACATCGAATCCCACATACATATTATGTATGTCACGCGCACCCTAGACGCGGGAATCTTGCAGGTGTAGTTAAAGTCCGAAAAAAAGTACATATCTTAAGTAGGGTATTTATAGTATGCATAGTATTATACACAAATTCAACCAAACGCACTGGTTTTAAACTCCAATAGAAAGTTGTAGTTTTTATCAAGATTTAAATAGTGTTAGATAAAAGCCTTTTAAAATATCTTAAAGACTAGACGCTAAAAGTCGCTAATTTTTAGCTTCCGTGCAAATTATCGCATTTTATTAATTTTAGAATGAAAATATCTAGTTGATAAAAACTGATCCTCTGATTTTGGCTTGGCCTGAATGGTATAGTACGCTAGGCTAACCGGTGGGCCACATGACGTTCAACGTGTTAAATGAGATTAGATATAAGATATTAGTAAGACGCGTCAAATTTGCCCCCACCTAAAGCTACATAACGATAACGGTCCCTCCGTAAAGATTCAAGAGTCAAACGAAGGATTTTTTTTTATTGCTTAGATGTGTGCACACCCCACCATAGGCGGCATCTACAACGTAAATGCGCCACTCACCTTAAGATATAAGATCTAAGGTCTCAAGTATAGTTACAACAGCTGCCCCGCTCTTCAAACCGAAACGCATTACTGCTTCACGGCAGAAATAGGCGGGGTGGTGGTACCTACCCGTGCGGACTCACAAAATTAGAGAGAGATAGAGATAAAGGTGTATTCATAAATATATCTTGATTTCAGCAGCGGCCGCTGCAGCCACAGGCGCTGGTTACGTCTCGCCATACTATGCGCTGCCCGGGGGAGGAGTCCAGGGACCGCTACTTCCACCATTGCCGTATCCTCCTCAACTGCAGGAGGCGAGGATGCAGTAGAAAGTTTTTATTATTAACCCGAGCTACGTTTGTGATATACAAAATTCAGATTACAAGGATTTTAAAGAAAGGTTAACTAGAAAAATTTCAGTAACAAGTATTCTGACATTCGGTAATGAAAAAGATAATTATTTAGTAAAAATATTGATTATAATATATGTATGTAATTGAAAACGTTTAAGTTTACTTATAATCGGGAAATAAGTTCTGCCTTAGATTGACACATACGAGGAATACTATGAAAAATCACAAATGTAGCTTGCGATTCTAAAATTGATTTATTAATATAGAAATTTAAGTACTTACTTAGAATCGAATCTTCTAGATTCTGTTAACATGCAGCAGTACGAGGCCAAATTGAAGTTTAGACAAGAATAGGGAAGACATAGTTTCTATCTATTTAACCAAATGAACGCTAATCATGACCAAAGCTATAAGCTTTTATTTAGAAGTTAGAAAGTATTTGGGTACACCGGCCAGTATAGTGATGTAATAGTAATAATAGTTATTATTTTACTAAAGTAATAATATTAGGTAACTGATACATTGAAGATCGGTTTAATAGGATTACTTATGTAATCACCAGCGACTGAAGCTGGTGTACAATGATCTTACGCGTCTACGCAGTATCTAATAACCAACATTTTGACATAATAAAACCGACTTCAAAACAATAAGATGACAATTTCATTAATGTATGTAATTGAAGTCAATGTAATGTGCATTATTAAGGATAACTCAAAAACTACCAGTCAGACCTTGATTCAATTTAAATGGGACCACACGGGAAGCAACGGCTTTTGAATGAAATTATTCAAATTCAGTTTACTTAGAAAAAATATCTGAGTTATGTGAAACATAAGAAAAAACAAACGAATTCTATTATTGAAGTCGGTTAAAAATAAACAGAAATTATGTACAAAGATATAAAGTTGGTTGTCAACTTGAATGAATACAGTTAGAAAAACCATAACTAGAGGCTAGTTTATATTGGCACTGAAGTGTATGCATTGCCCCAGCAATGTAATGTGTTGATATGTATGAGAATTTTATTTTTCTAAAACTGATGAATAGCACAGGCTTGCTAAACGTGACATTATAACATTAGTAAATTCCAGTTACAACCTGGTTTTTGTATTTAATGTTCGACGTTCGATATTTTAAATTTAAATTCGTTAGCATTCTATTTCAGTAATTAAAAATAAATAAATAAATTGACTTAAAGATCATATATTAGAAATAGCAAAGAAGCTCTGAAAGAAAATAGATTTGTTCGTTCTATTAACATGTCCATGTTGCTCAATAAGGCCTGCATAGGGCTTCATTTAGCTTAAGGTGAGGGAGAGCAATAAAGGGCTATAGTATATTATACTTAAAACGTAAGTTACTGTACTTATTTTATATATCGAAAACCTATGTTAGTAATTGCCCGTAAAATATTTAATTATAGTTCTTGCTCCAAAGCGGTATAGGGTACTTACTAGGTAGAATAATTATTCAATTACTAGTCCATGTAATTTTTAATTTAATGAGGATCATAAGATTGTCGGTTGCGTAAGCTGTTCTAAAAAAAAAAATTCAAACTTCTCCCAATCAGCTTCTTGCCATTTGACAGCTGATAATTTAAATTTAGAAAAGCTACAAACAACCGGCGATATAGTGTAATAATTAATCAGTAGTCCTAATAGATTACTGAAATTTAGCATGTAAGCTTATATAATAATAATTATAATATTATGCTGTTATTCGTAATTTATTTTGTTGATATTTGTAAATCTACATGTTGATAACTATTTATTATGAAGAAAAAAAAAAGAAAAATATTGTTACTACTGCTGACCGACTAGCACGGGGCACATATAATATCTATAATAAGTGAAGGTTCGGATTAAAATGTAATAATAATATTAAACCCTGAATTTTCTATAATGTTCCGTAACATTTTCAAAAGTGGATTTAATTTGATTTAAATGCGGTGTTTACATACTTGTTAAAAAATATTAAAGTAGATTATTATACTGTTTACGGGAAGGTTATTTTTTTATCATCTCTGACATTTTTCTTTTAAGAAACTTAAATATCTCATCACGTCCCAAACTATAAGTACTCAGTTTTGAACATTATATGTGTTATTGCCGAATTTTCACTAAACACTCATCAAATAATCCACACAAACGTGTCTTATAAAACATTCGATCAGATATCACTATGGTATTAAAATATAATTAGGGATCCTTGTACTGAGTGTAGTACATATAATAATGTGTATAAAAAGAAAATACCGTGTACTCAACATGTACAAGTATTTTAGTTATGTTTTAGAAACATTGACTTAATAAAACTGAAATTTATGTATTGTACGATTCATTCTTTTTCAGGAGAAATATTTTAATTAATCGCTTTAGAAAATGTATGTAACGTACATATGTGTATGGGGTGCGAAAGAATTGTCATAAAACTGAAATATTTAACGAATAACCTTATTTAAATGATCGAAATGTTCGGGGGGATAACTCGGAGCAATTTATGTAAACTCCGATGCATAGATAAAAACTGAAACCAAATGGTACATATTAATATAATGTGAGCCATATTATGTGGCCATCTTGCCTTAAAAAGTATAAATATGTTAGAAAATAATATACTATTTTATATTATATTATATCATACTATATAAAAAACAGAGGAATATACTTTATACATTCAATTCATTAATATTTAAAATAATAATAGGATAAAATACAATTTAAAAGTATATATTATCATATGTGACTTAATTACACATATCAATCACATCACATAATATTTAAATGTAGGAAGAGTATGGTTTTTAAGTATGTATCTGTCGGGTTATTTTTTCATTTCACAATGTAATTGGGCGTTCCAGTCTAACACGTATTTTTTAATGTAAAAACAAAAAATGATATATTATCCTCCCAAAAAAATTAGGAAATATTGAATTCTAAAAAAATATCTTTCATACGTAAATATTTTCAAATTGTATTAGAAGTTATACATAATTCTGTTGTTTACGACTTGACTCCAAACTGATTGCAGTGATTATATTATGTATTTAAGATGTACACATGGTAATCTGTGACATAGTCACTTTTCACTAACGACAATAATCCGATGTTTTCCCTGTCCAACATCACGTTACTTATTTTTTTGATAGCTTTTATTTGTTCTTATGAACCGAATACTATGCCATGACAGTGCCGTAATGTCTAAACAGTCCATTATTAGTGCATTTCATGAACAGTAATATTAAGCACAATTAAATATTGTTTTATTTATGTATCTATAATTATGTATATTTAAATAAGTACTACATGCACATATGAAGGGAATACATAATAAAATATCATACATAATTGTTATATTTAATTTAAATACTTTATTGTACTTAATTAAGCTAGCTAAAAGGAAATAAAATTTTAAGGTATAGACTATGTGTGTTTATTTGTTGTTTTTTCCTAAAAAATCAGTAGGAATTAGACTAGTTACTCAAGAACATCAACAAGTGTTACTGGAGCAAAGTTGGGTTCGATCAAACTGTATTGAAAATTTAAGTCATCGACGACGGTTATTACTCTAACTCAGTGATTCTCAACCTTTTTTTTGTTGCGGCACATATTTGAGTCGTCTATTATCAAAGGTGGCAATCTGTGCATTTGGACAATTTTTTTTATGTCAATTCAGATTGATTTGAATATAATCGTCTCCTTCAAAGNCTTTAGTTGAAATAGATAAGCAATTTAATATAAGTAAGTCGATTTTGCAGAGACATGTAACAAGATCAATGAAATCTCAAGGTGGACAAAAATGTCTAAGTAATACATAATAAAATATTTAATATTTGTTCAGAGTGGGGGTGTTCATCTGATTAATCCATGGAATAACCGACACACCTAATCTCTTAACCCAGATAGAAATATCAGCCCCTAAGTACTTACCAAGAACGGAGAAATATAAACCGTTTCTAAGAAAGCCCACTATATACACCCACACCTATAATTGAGGTGATGTCTGCCATGTACTTTTGTCAGTTTTTAAATTTTTTTTATTGATGATCACTTTGTTGGTGCAACTAAATAAATAAATAAATTAAAACTATACATAAAAATAAAAGTAGTGCCAACCCTAGCAAATTTCTCATTTCGTCCCAATTAACCGCAATTTTCGGGTAAATAGGGATTACACCTATTTTTGCTTTTTTTGCTTAAACTGGAATGCTAGTTGCATAATTTTAAATTAGACAACAAAGATGCCCCCCAGACTCAATCATTTTGATCCTGATATAGCATTATATACATCAACAACTACCTTAAAATTGCTCATAAAGTTGGAATTTGTCCCTAATCGCCCCATTTTACGGTATGCCGCATAATGCGCTCTTGTGCTGTAATTGGAAAACGGCTTATCATATGTCACTTGCGTCATCTGTCATTTGAAGCTTCCGTGCTAAGGTTATGTTTACATTTCATTTTTGTACAAAAAATAAATTCCCAAATTCTAAAATTACTTTACCACAGTTATAAAACTTTGTTCTCACTTTTGGATCAATGGCCGGCCAAGGGCACCAGTTCCCCAGCAATTTCCAAGCGAATGCTGCCGGTATGCGTTCAGGTTTCGGTGGAGGGCCTATGGGGGCACAAATGCAAACTATGCCCAATCAATTAGCAGGTAACAAAACTAACAAAGAACATTGCTTTATAAGTTACATTTAATATTAGCTTTTCCTTTTTTCAGCCCTTGAGATATTTATAATTCCAAACCATTTTATTATTTTAAATCTGTCTGGTAAAGTTACAATTCTAAATGTTTCATTTAATTATTATTCAACAGTTACTCTTTACAAAAGTTCAACATGATTTCAGGTGTTATGGGAGGCCCAATGGGAAATACTGGTGGTATGGTGGGCATGGGAAATCAAATGGTGCCACCCTATGGGGCAATGCAAAATCAAATGGGAAATATGGGGATAGGACCTCAGGTACATTTTCGATTTACTTGTATTTCTACACTGTTACTCAACAGTGTAAAGTGTTCTTTTTATTTGAGGATTTGTTGGTTCAAGTTCAGTTCACTCGTTCAGTTCAGTTCAGCCTTAGCTGTAAAACGGCAGCCCCTAAATAAAGAAGTCTAGTTTACAACTTAAGGTTACAGGTCAGTTTTCAAGCTTTCTGAAAACCAAGTATATGCAGATATCTCTCAGATTCTTTGAAGGCATATAGATAAAAGGTTCTTCTGATGATGAACAGTATTAGTCACTCACGGACATCAGTAATAAACCTGCTGTGGAGCCAGACGGTTTAAGCATAATTACACTTAAGATGCTATGGAATCGTCGATGATGGGAATTGTTATCTGTAGTTAAAAGTGCTCAGTCTCTGTACTGTTACGACTTAGCCTTTTTTTAAATCATTTCTATAGTTAGCAACTTGGAAAAAAATTATTATTATGATCAGAGATTAGAACTGACTGATAGTGAATACATATTGGATTTTCAAGTTTTAAAAGATGTTGTGAAAGATATTGAATATTATAATTCTAACACTTCAACTAGTGGTTCTGAAATTCTACCACCAGAGACAGACAATGAATGAGAATTATTGAAAGTGAAATTGAAATTGAAGAACTGATAGAAGGCTTAGATGAATGGTGCTATGTCAGGAAATAATTAGATATTCTGGATAAAATACATTTTAGTGAATCGCCAAAGGTCATTAGACCACAATTACTTACAAATGTGTAGCCGATAAAATATATAAAATTATTTTTCACAAATGAAAGTTAACCTACAATACACGTTGGAGATTGTTTCCAAAGATATCAAGTTGAATTACACAATTTAATTTTATGTTCATTTACAAAAAGAAAGTGCATATGTATAAAGTAAATAAAATCAATGTTAACTTAACCCACTTAAGTTAAGACTGCTTTTTCTCTGCTGCAAAAGTCTGTCAGAATTGCTGGCAGGTAGTGGCTAAGGGTTAATAAGCAAAGAATTAAGTTAAAATATTTACAGTGTGTATTAATAGCCATTCCATATTTGAAAACAGACAGAAAAACAATGAAATAGTCCAGCGAAAGAACTGAAATTATAAAAATAAATATTAAAATTGTTTTTCATTCAGGAAATGAATCTATAAACATCACTCTACATTTTATTTTTATAAATTGTGTGGTTTTGAAATTTTACAGGGTATGGGTGTTGGTGTTGGTGGTAATCCTGCAGCAAGCATGGGACCTCAAGGAGTTCAGCAACCAGGTTCTATATAATATTATTAATCATCATGAATAGCAAGTAAATATGCTCACCTATTCTTTTTAAAATGACATAAATACTATAATGAAATGTAATCTAAATTGTTGTTTCAATACATCACTGAATTTTTTAATTTAATATATTTTATTAGACATTGAATTTGCTTCAGCCATTGTGAAGATTACATAAGTAGACAGAGACATTAGAAGAGACATTAGCTAGATAATATTTTTATCATAATGCAAAATACAAAGTATGTACAATATAAGGCCTTTCTCAAATTAATGAATAATAGTATGTATAATTAGTTTCATATTTTTCTACAAAATACACTAACAGCATTCTTTCATATGTGTTTATTTACGAATCAACACTCATGGTCAACTTATTCAAATAGTTATAACACCCAATACACAGTAATAACATAGCTTAACATCATAACTTTAATGGCACCGTGCTCAGTCAAAAGGTCAAAGGCATTCACTATTGTATTTAAAGTGTGTTGAAAAATGACTGGTTACATTATAAATGATACAACCTATGCTGTGTGTCTGAATTAAAAAAAATTCATGCGAATAAAATGTGATTAAAAAATACCATTCCAATGAATTGACTTGAAGGAATTCAATTTTACAGTCTTTACTTAGTTCTCTGGCTGTGAAAAAAAATTATCTAATTATAACTTGAATAATAAATTTTCCAGGCACAATGCAAGCCAGTGCAGTGTCAGCACAGCCAACAGCTCCTCCCGCACAACCCTCAGTGAACCAACCGCCACAGAACAAGGAGTTCAACACAGCATCGTTGTGCAAGTATGTTTGTCAATTGAAAACGACGAAATTTAAGAATTATTTAAATTAAACCTTCTTTATTTAACCTCTTCAGGGTTATTGGCACGTATGTGTGTATATGTTTTTTCTAAATATTGTTTACAGATTGAACTCTATGCTAAATGGCCGTTTTTATTTGAAAATTATTTTTTGCTGATATTCAATATTTTTTTTATAGCTTATGTGTGTGGACGAGCTCACAGTCCACCTGGTGTTAAATGGTTACTGGAGCCCGTAGACATTTTTTTTTATTTTTATTGCTTAGATGTGTGGACGAGCTCACAGCCCACCTGGTGTTAAGTGGTTACTGGAGCCCATAGACATCTACAACGTAAATGCGCCACACACCTTGAGATATAGTTCTAAGGTCTCAGTATAGTCACAACGGCTGCCCCACCCTTCAAACCGAAACGCATTATTGTTTCACGGCAGAAATAAGCAGGGTGGTGGTACCTACCCTCGCGGACTCTCAAGAGGTCCTACCACCAGTAATTACGCAAATTATAATTTTGCGGGTTTGATTTTTATTACACGATGTTATTCCTTTACCGTGGAAGTCAATCGTGAACATTTGTTGAGTACATATTTCATTAGAAAAATTGGTACCCGCCTAAGATTCGAACACCGGTGCATCACTCAACACGAATGCACCGGACGTTTTATCCTTTTAGGCCACGACGACTACAGAATTGAATGCATTTCAGATTTGGACAAGAGACCGTGCAAGACATAGTAAGTCGAACGCAAGATGTATTTCAAACTTTAAAAGCTATACAGGTATAGTAATCATTAATTGCACTTTATTGAATTATTCAAAACATTAAACCTAGACCTGTGATAAGTTCGTAAAGAACTTGTGTTATAGGTACCAGATAACGGAAATAAATTTAAGATTTTTATTATACACATACATATATTTAATATACATCCATAACCCTGGAAAAGATATTTATATTCATCATACAAATATCTTCCCTTGGCGGGATTCGAACCCGCGACCCCCTTGTGTAGTGACCATGTCACTTACCACTACACCAGACGGCCGTTGAATTGTTGTTCTATTGCCTATTGTATGTTTTTACAGCCACCGAATGGAACACAGCACGGCGAGAACGCCAGCAACGATAAGAAAGCGAAAATGCAAGAACAACTCCGCACTATTAGACTATTGTTCAAGAGGCTTCGATTGATCTATGAAAAATGCAATGAAACTTGTCAGGTTAATGACATTTTTTATATGTCTAATCTTTAATGTAAAATAGATTTCATTACGTTAACGAGTAGCGAAAGAAGAGATTTTTTTTATTAAGAAGCCGTTTGTGGCTTCGCTTCGAATAGTACTTCAATAGTCTTCATAGCGCTTGTCTTACGCTTTAATAGTCGACTATGTCTAAAATTTTTCAGAACATTCGAGAATGTTCTAAACTCATCCTGCCTATATCGAGAAGATTTTCAGGGTCATTAGACCACTGGAACATTCTCGAATGTTCCAGTTTTTTCAGATATCCGCTTTTGTTATTTGACGACAGATGGCGGTACTCGTATCGGCATTGCAATATGAAATGAGTACTGTATATGACTGGGTAGTTTAAGGACCAGATAGTTTAGTTAGAAGCAAGTTTATTCGTAGAAAATGTTACAGTTTTCAATTTTTGGAACGAAGTTCCTTATGGGACGATGCGGAGGGGTACCCTAACCGGGAAAAAACGTCCGTAACGTAAGATTTTTATTAGTAATGCACACAGTGTACGACTTAACTTTGTAATAACGTACAAAAAATAACATATTTTTTTTATCATTCATTAGCCACGATCTCAGAGCGTTCGTTTGCGCAATACACTAACTCTTATGCAAACAACAGTAAATGAAGTGTACCACAATAAGTTCGCACGTTACCGATGACCGTGGGTTGTTTCGAAACCTCCAGTTTTATTTTCTTTATACCTCGAATAGAACTTAAAATTAATATTTTTATAATAAGGAACTTCGTTCGTATCCGGTGTCCCACGACACCACACATCTTTTTTTTCTAAATTGCAACATCCGTGGAGCTGTTTTCGTTAATATAAAGATTTATTTTTTCTTTATGTAATTCCCAGGGCATGGAATACACGCACATGGAAAGTCTAATACCCTTAAAGGATGAAGCCGAAAATAAAACATTGGACGAGCGTCGCAACACAGAGTCCTATCGACTCGCCCTAGAAGAAAACACGGAATTGACTGAACAAGTACTGAATCTATGTAAATTTTTTTTAAACTGTCGGCAATTTTGTTAGTGGTAGGGCGTCTTTTGAGCTCGCACGGATAGGTACCACCACCCCGCCTATTTCTGCCGTGAAGCAGTAATGCGTTCCGGTTTGAAGGGTGGGGTAGCCGTTGTAACTATACTGAGATCTTAGAACTTATATCTCAAAGTGGGTGGCGCATTTACGTTGTGGATGTCTATGGGCTCCAGTAACCACTTAACACCATGTGGGTTGTGAGCTCGTCCACCCATCTAAGTAATAAAGATGCGTTCCGGTTTCAAGGGCGGGGCAGCTGTTGTTCTGAAATACTGAGACTTAGAATTCATGTCTCAAGAAGGGTAGCGACGTTTACGTTGTTGATGTCTATGGGCTTCAATGAACGCTTAACATCAGGTGGGCCGTGAGTTCGATCTGTTAGTTTGAGCCATGATTAATATTATTAATAGTTTATTCTTTTTTTTTATTCTTTATTAGAGCCCTACACCTAAGTATTACGTTAAGTTGGCTATTAAATAGTTATTATCATTAATCATTCTTTTTTTCGTGTTGCAGGTAGTGTTAAAAAACAAGCAGCTAAAAGAAGTTATAACGAATTTAAGGACCATTATATGGGAGATAAACGTGATGTTGACAATGCGCCGGTCGTGAATTGTATTCATGGTTGTTTTATTGCCTTAATAGGCGGACGAGCGTACGCGCCTTCTGATGGTGAGTAGTCATCGTGGTTCATGGACATCGGCAATTCCTAAAGGCTATCACGAATCGACTGATGACAAAAAATGTTAAGTATTCCGAAATAAAAATTAAAAAAAACGCGAGGAAGAACTGTTACTGTAGTTTTAATTATTACATTACCCGAATACTCTCCATAGTGTCTGAAATTAAAATAATTGTATTTACATATATAGAGCAATAATGAGAAAAGTACTGCTTCAACTTCCCCATTGATATGTGAATTAATCATTTACCTACTGTATCCGACTTGCCACAGTTGTTTAAATGCGTAAAGAATACCACCATCTCGTTTTTACCATCGCACCGCCCGCTACCAGAGTAGAGTTCATCCATACTACCTGGAGCCACTGCGTTCATTCACAGTGCGTTTCCAGAGATCTTTTTTGCCACGTACCATCCGGCTATGGAATGAGCTCCCCTCCACGGTGTTTCCTGAGCGCTATGAAATATCCTTCTTCAAACGAGGCTTGTGGAGAGTACTTAACGGTAGGCAGCGGCTTGGCTCTGCCCCTGGCATTGCTGAAGTCCATGGGCGACGGTAACCACTCACCATCAGGTGGGCCGTATGCTCGTCTGCCTACACGGGCAATAAAAAAGAAAACAGTAAAATATCAAGCGTTAGTAACCGCTGTGAATCGATATAATATATCGACAGGAGAATATCGTTATTATCGTAACTTGCATTTTGTGCTAAATAATTAGATTCACGTGTAAAGTTGAGTTTTTGATCTTAAACTTATTCCGCTTACTTCCGTCAATGTGTAGTATAAAAACGTTTGCTTTAAAGGCTTAGATTAAAAAAAAAAAACTTCCAAAAATTACTTCCATCTTTTTTTATTCTGCTGATACCGGTAAGAAAAATATAAAATTATTGTATTGTCATCTGTTCCTGATGCGTGTGTTGCATACAAACCATAATAAAAGCTTGTTAAAAACTGTATTAACACTAAACATACCAAAACGGGTCAAATTACCCATTTTGAACTTTTGCATTGAAAATGCACGTAACGTCTTAAAGCCTTTGCACATTTGACTTCATTACTTTTTCTTACCAATTAATCTAAAGTTATTATACTATTTCTTTGTTTTGTTTTGTTTATTTTGAGTGATGCTTGTCGAAAACCGTTATCTTCTCTCTATGGTAGACATAGGTACCAGAAAGTGTTGGTATGATTAGTATTAACAGGGAATAAAGATCTTCTCAGTGGGTCGCGTTTCCGATCCGGTGGTAGATTCTCCGAAGCACGGCTCTTGCTAGGGTTCGTGTTAGAAACAACGTCAGGTTTGAGCCCTGCAAGCTCACCTACTAGTTTGGTGAATCTAGTATGACTCCTCGAGGTCACTAGTATAGGTAGATCAAAAAAGGGAAAATAAATTTAAGTAAATTGATTGCTTGTATGACAATGAACATGCAAACATGACTAAGCGACAATAACTGCTTTGTACATAAATGATAGGCAATAACCATATTCGATGCGCAAAAAATATATATTTCTAGGTCTATTAAAATCATTTCAATCCTAGATTTCTACTACAGCTAGATTCTACTACAGCTAGATTCGTTAAAATAAAATTTGTTTTCAGGTATTTCAACTTTAAATTACTGTAAAGTTCTACTGTAAAGTTCACGCATTGTCGCTTAGTCACGTTTGCCTTTCAAGCGTCGATATGTACTTTATTTAGCGCACATAGTTTTTTTGTATATATATGGCACAATATCAATCATATCAATTAGCGTTTATTCGTTTCCTTTTGTTATAATTACTAAAAAGTGAGTAGAAAATCAAGCCTTAATTTGTAGAAACTTAAGTCGGAAATAAGTCAAGACTGCTCATCGGGTCCTCTACGGACATCGTGTGTCATTGTGTTTGGTTTAGGAATAACATAGGCCCATATATATCTACAACGTAAATACGCTACCCACCTTGCGATATAAGTTCTGAGGTCTCAGTATAGCTACAACGGCTGCCCCACCCTTCAAACCGAACCACATTACTGCTTCACGGCAGAAATAAGCAGGGTGGTGGTACCTACCCGTGCGGACTCACAAGAGGTCCTACCACCAGTGTGTGGTGTGCGTTTTATCTCCCTTTTATTGCCATTGTAGGCGTAGGAGCATACGGCACACCTGGTAGCTGGTATGTGGTCACCGTTAGAGATGGAGATCAGAGATGCCAAGGGGAACATCTAAGCCGCTCCTTATTGTTGCTTTTTATATATTATTGGTTAATAATGGCGATCTCCCTTAAAAGTCGACAGAATACAATCTATAACAAAATATATGTAAGGAAATTCAAAATATTTTTGTCATAACCGCTTGTGTAATAATAGACGAACTATGTGTTTTGTATTTTTTAATCGTAATAAAAAGTTAACATAAATTATGGCAAGTTAAATTAACTTCTTAGTATTTAAATATTAACATTAATTAATAGTGGCAAGTAGACAATGGATTAAAATATTACCATATTAAAAAAATTGTGTTACAAAAAATAAAATATGTAAAAATCACTTTTGTTAAAATTACAATGGTTTAGTGATGCCCACAATAATCATAGAGTCAATAAACAAAAAGGGTATTTCTTAAACTAACTTATTACACACTAAAATTAACTTAAAAAATAGTATAATTTACGTTCAAAATTTATCGTATCTGAGCCCTCTTCGAGAAATTTCGATTTTTAAGAGCGGCTATCACCAATTTCTGGGTTTTCGGGCACATTAAGTTTTGATGAGTAGTGTTCGGGAATTTCTGGGGCTGCTTCGACATCTTTACCAGCGCTTCTTCCGGCGGGCAGAGCGTTGAAAGCTTCAGCCAAATCAGGATTGATTTCTTCGAGAGGCGTGTCTCCGCTCCTGATGTAAACGGGCACGTAACCCGGTGCTTGCGGTAGGAACTGCCATTTCGGGCGTGCCTCTGTAACACAAAAAAAAATTGTTTTAAACACATGAAATAATACATGCTGTTCAAATGCTTTGTGGCCCGGTTGTGCTCCCGACATTGGATTATTTCTATTGGATGAGCGTTAGGGTAGTATAACTAGTACCTATATAATATAGCAATAAAATTAAAAGTATCTATTCGATATCAATGCCGTGGATTTTAAAGAACTTTTGAAATCGACGAGTACGCAGTTATGAAACATCCATGATCAAGTTGAGTTTGAGGTTGTTCTTTATGTCGGATATATACTACATACCATATTGTATATAAATATATATACGTCTCGTCTATTGTTGATATTATGACAAAGAAAAATGAGTGGGGTAACGCGTTGTGCTCTCCGATCTCGATTCGTGGCAAGTAATCTTTTGTTACGGATGCCAATTCGTCCCCTTGTCCTTTCCGGCATATGTCGTGCCCACATTTTTTTATGTTTGAGAGATTCCTGGTGGCCCGCATGTCTTTCCAGTTTTACCAGAGCAGGTGAGCGAGCAAGGGCTCAGTCAGGAGGGGATTTGTTAACAGCTACCCGATCACCTCCAATCGAGACCTAACAACTCTAGACTAGCTGCTTCGCGAATGAAAGTCGAATGATGTCGCAACAATTTGAGGCTTAGCTGAAAACGTTATACTGGGATTGTTTATTGAATACAACAGCTCTTTCCAAAATATCTCCCACAGTAACATACAAAAAAAGGTGGCCTAATGATCTGGCGGTTGAACAATACGCCGCAAAAATGGAACTACCATTTCATTAACCTGAATTCGCTGTTGGAAGTATGGCTAATATAATATTTGTAATCGATGTAGCAATTTATTTTATTTTCCTAAACAATATCTTTGATCAAGCTTAGTACAAGCGAAAACGCAAGTGACGTGCAAGCAACCGGATAACTGCGATCACACAATGAATTTACATGCTCGCATTGTTTTCATGTTAAAATCGAAAATAGAAATAGCAATGAAATTTTAATTTCTCCTTGTCTACACGCAATTGAACATATTTAGCATAAACGCGAGATAGACGACAATCGATAAAAAACAAAACGACTGTGAAAGTTTTCGAAATAAAAAACTAAATTAGTTTTCCGTAACAATGTATATATTGGAATTGGATTGGTATATAGATTGGAAGAAGAATCTATGCAAGAATATGGTCGAGGAAGGTATGAAATATGACAACAATAGGTGTTATGAGAATGAAGTTGTTTTTTTTCCTATCTAAGCTGATGGTATTGAGAGACCATATCAGCGTAACCGGGCGAGTAGGTGAACTCACGGGGCTCAAACCTGACGTTGTTGTTAACACGAACCCTAGCAAGAGCCGTGCTTCGCAGAATCTACCATCGGATCGGAAACGCGATCCACTGAGAAGATCGGGCGAGAAACTCAGTGGGCTGTGTCTGTGGGTTAATTTACTCGCCCGCCCTTCGTAGCAAGCGACAAGCGAAAACGATGACCAGTGCTTGGGGTACCTAAAAGCACCGTTAGTGGATCGGGTGGATCCGAAGTGACGTGAGCAAAGAATGAAGTATGAACGCACAGAAAGCTCTGGGTGTTAAAGGATAGCTAAAGTCAATCACAGAATATCGCGCCGTCATCTCGTCCCTCTTATCCTATCCAGGTGCCGTTCCAACGTTGATCGCTCGGTATTACTGACGGCCATGGGCGACGGTAACCACTCACCATTAGGTGGGCTATTACCACCATTACCATTATATGCTCGTCTGCCTACAACAGCAATAAAAAAAACTACGAGGGGTTTTTTGTTCGACTTTCATGTAACGCCTCCACTCCAAAGGAGCAACGTCATCGTGTCCCAATTGTAGGTACTTGATAACTTAAAAGTTGATTTAATTAAACAAATTTTGATATCGGTTCGGCAGCGATTTGGTTTTGCCCCCTTGCACTGCTGACGTCTACTGGCGATGGTAACCACTCTCCACCAATTGGAAGCAACGTCTTCTGAGCATTTTCTACGAATAAAAACCGCTTACCCGTTTGCTCTTAACATAGACGTCCAATCCAAGATGTGATATCCCGTGATCCGAAATCCGAGATCCCAGCTAAGGTCTGACTTTCCACTTGTAAACACTTCTACAGTTACGATTTGAAAAATTTCTACATATATATAAAAATTAATTGCTGTTCGTTAGTTTCGCTAAAACTTGAGAGCGGCTGGACCGATTTGGCTAATTTTGGTCTTGAATTACTTGTGGAAGTCCAGGGAAGGTTTAAAAGGTAGATAAAAATTAAATAAAAATAACAATTTTGTTTTCCCTTTGATGTGTCCCCCGTTGGACGGATTCCGTTTGTTTGTTTTAAGTTTATTGTAGACAAAAGTTTAGGTCTTTTATTTATCGATTGAGGCACTACGAAGTCTACCGGGTCAGCTAGTTAACAATAAATACTACATTTATTTGATTTATGAGCTCTTTGTTCTATTTGCTAAAATTAAGTCCTTGTCTCTAAACACAAACATATATATTTATGTTCAAACGTTAAATGTTAATTGGCAAATGCAATTCGGTCAATTAATGCAGTTAAAATAACATGATAGATAAATTTAATTTAATTGTACAGAAGTAACCTATTTTCGAATGATCAATGTCTCAATGCATGCATCAATAAAATGCACATCTCTTGAGGATTCGCGCGCGTCGTAAATTTGTTAATGCCTAGATAATGGATAGGACTCCGGCACGGTCGGGTCGTTTTCCTTATTACTGAGGTCGTTCAACTAAACTGGCGTCTGCTACGAGTATATAGGCACACTGAATCTTAGGCGTAAAGTTACATTCTAGTTATCGACAGCTTGGTGGATTCTTGTGAAATTAAATTATTCGTCACGGATGTTCAGAATTCGGTATTTTGGGTTGTTTTTTTTTTGTATATTATTTATTAACGTTGAATCTCAGTAAGACGATTTATATACACAAGCATACCTATACGTTAAAAAATATCAAGTTATACGGCGTATTGTAAGTCCGTACAGGTAGGTTCCCCTATCCTGCCTATTTCTACCGCAAAGTAGATACCTACGTTTTTCAATTCAACTAAGAGCTAGAAGAGTTCATGTCTCAAAACAGGCGACTGTATACGTGATTTGTCTAAAGGCTCCGGTGACCACTTAACGCAAGGCGATTTGTGAGCTCTTTCACCCACCTAAGTAATAAAACAAGATAAATAACAAAAGCCGCGAGCAATGACCTATAGAACCTGTCAAAACGTGTCAATAAAAAAAGCTATGAACAAGCTACGCATTTAGCACACTAATTAAAGTGAATGTGGTAATTTGTAAGTGCATTCATTACTGGCGACAAATTTAAAAAAAAAATATTATGTATTGAAGGCTGACACTGTACTGTTTAAGAATAAAAAGTAATAAAAATAACACAATTATTTAATTCACAAAGCTATGAATTTATGAATACAACCTCCGAATACCTAGTTACTCACATAATTAAAATTTAGTTATGCCCAGTGATCACGCTATACAGTCGGATCAATGTAAATATTTACTTTTTGTTTGTTATTTTTATTAGAAATAATTGTGTGTTTGTTTTTATAGAAACATGGAATTATCTATTTTGAAATGTTCCATTTTCAGTTGATGTTAACGGCTAACTGATGTCTCTGAAACGGTAGGTAAATATTATGTTCTAGTGAACAAATTTACCTTTGTTTGCTTAAGGTAAGGAAAATCCGGAACAAACATAATTTTACTTTTATATTTTAAACTTTTATATTTTTATGTTACATTTAAATCTTTATAATTTTAATTTTTTAAAAATACATTAAGAATAAATTATATCAATTACACTTAACAATGAGACTATCTTTCAATAAATCAATCCTCAAATGACGAAGAGATCGGTAAAAATACTTAAAAATTCATATAGTTGAACATAGAACCTGAAACCTGAACCTGAACCCTTTTTTGAATGTTAAGGAGGATTTTTACATTATTAATTAAATAATACTTTTCGAATCAAAATTTAATAGTTAATTAATTTCTGTGTAAAATAATGCACAACAAAATGTAATAAACGAACTACATTTAAAAAAAATCTTATGAGTTGATTGATTTGTTTAGGTAGGTAGGGCTCACGTAACATTAAGTGGCCGCCGGAGCCTATAAACGCTCCCCACAGCCTCCCCACTTGAGAATGAAGTCTCAATTGTTTTAGTTTAGAGTTTAAAAATCATTTAAAACTACTAAATACTATTTTCTTATTTTAAACAACCTGTATACGCTTAGTCGATGGATGTGAATGTATGCCGGATTGTCGGCTTTCATATAACGGTCAGTTTCAAGACAAGATTGCGTTTTCGTTCGTCAATATTCTAACTGTACCGTCATCTTGTACATTCCTTAAGTACATTTTAAACTCAATTATTTAGTGGCTTTCTGTTTTTTAATTTCAATGTGAGAGTTTCGAAATTATTATTTATTGTTTTGCTAGTGACATTCGGCATGTACTGCCTATTTCTGCCCCAACTAATACGTTGGGACAACTGTAATACTATATAAATAGAGGTCCCGCAGTAGTCGAAATTCGACTATAATTAATTGGAATTGGAATTGTTGTTGTACACTATTATCATTGTATTTTGTACTTCTATAATCACAAATTTTGCCCTAACTACACTATGAAAAATATTAACAAAGACAAACTATTTAATCTATTCTCAATTTGACCACAGACGTCAAGAACAAAAGTTTGACAATAAATAGTATGCATGCGTGTGTGCGTCAAATACATTGTCATGGTATGTAGTGTGTGTAATGTTTTCTTTATTGATTTAATGTATCTTTTGTGCATTATTTTAAAAAAATATTAGCATTATGCACTTCTTCTCTATATTCTCTATAAGTGTGGAAAATTTCATACTCCTCCGTGCGCGCAATTTTCGTAAAAAGGGATACAAGATTTTTGCTTCACGTATTAATATATAGATAACTGGGATTG